TTTTGAGTAGACCATCTGCTTCTTGCCTCAACTCTGACACAACTATTCTACCCCTATTAGAGAGGAAGAAATAAAGATTCAGAGAATTTAATTTTTGCCATGATATCATAGGTGGTAAACAGCAGAGCTGTGATTCACACCAAGGCAGTCGAAATCTTCAGCCACTAAACTATATTGTCAAGTGTGCCCCGTGCCCCCAGTTTCTCTCTAATTAAACTTCCCTAGGGCTTAGAGCTTGGAGTCGAACCCTTGGAGTCTGGCTCCAGACCCTATGCACATAACTCACCCCAGTCTTCTGCCTCTCACTGGAACGGTGACTGTTGCGGTAAGAACACAGCATGGGTTTCATGTCTCCTTTGTAGACTCTGAGGTCGCTAGACCCGGGTTCATAACCCTGACTTTGTCACTTATTATTTCTGGGAGCTAAGCTTTGGTTTGCCCATTTATCAACAAGGGGGTTTGACAGTAATCATTTCACAAGAGTGCCTGAGAGTCAATGAGATCATGAATTTTCAGGACTGAGGACAGTCTAACTTCGGTATTTTATCCATAAGTTAAATTACATTAACAAATAAACATTAATACATTTATAATATGTAAGCCTAAATTATAATAGAATTATATATAATTATATATCATGATGATATACTATATAATTATATATCATTACATATTTATACATAATAATGGAATTATATATCAAATTTATAATTTAATAACAAGTAAATAAATATGTAAAGTATTAATACATAAAATATAGATTATATTAGTAAATAGAAATATGTTTTATATAGATAAATAAATAAACATACACACTGGGGGTGCCAAAAATATATATACACATTTTAAGAGATGTTAACACTTTGGTAAACATTGCTCAAGCAGTAGTTCACCGTAATCAGAAATGTCTGGACTCCGATGGTAACCACTTTGAGCACCTCTTGTAATTGCAGAAGTCACACATGACTTGTATCCATCTTTTGTTATTGCTATATATTAATACAGTTTTTTCCCTTTCTTAAAATGTGCATACATTTTTTTGGCTCTTACTTTACAGGAGCATGGTTATTTTATTTCATCTCTAATGTTCAATCAAATGAGAAAAAGTCTCTATTCAGTTTTTCCAGTTTGAGTCCAGGGACGCTCCCTAAATCACTATCTCTCTCTTTCTCTGTATATAGATACAGCAGAATGTTAAACCGCAGATGCCAAGAACCCCATATTCCCACATTCCCAAGCGAGCTCTTGTAAACAGGTGTTACCTGTTATCGGCCGCTGTACCCTCCCCCACCCCAGGCCCTTGGAAGGGAGGTCAAGAACTCATGGACAGGAGGAGGGGGCACAGATTGAGGCTTCCTGGGGGAGAGTTGATAATGAACAGTGAGTCCTCCCACAGGGGTGAGGGCTGGGGCTTTCTTCCTGCCTAGGCCAAGTGAGGGTGGCTCAGTTGGCAACCTCTTGGAGAAGTGTCCCTTGGAGTTTGCAGGAACTCTTAGACCTATAAGTCTCCAGGCAACAAATGCAGTGGNACTCACGGCAGCCCAGCTTCAGGTTGAGCTGTTGTTCAGCATCTTAGCTGTGGAGGGCAGTGTCACTGGCCCTCATATGTGGGATCCGAACCGGGGCGCTCTGGCATCCCAAGCGAGTTCTTAACCATCGCGCCACGCGGCCAGCCCTGGATTATTTTTGAAGGCAGAGCTCACAGGATTTGCTGATGGATGGGTGTGGGTGGGAGAGAAAGAGAGGAGTCAAGGGGGACCTGCAAGGCTTGGGGGTTGAGCTGGTGGTTGCCAGGGGTGCTCTTTACAGAGATGGGGCATGCATAATCGTCATCATAGTCCTCTTTCCATGATTTCTTTTTTTTTAACTGAAAGATTCTGAGGTCTGGGGGTTCTTAGGGCCAAGTCTCATGGTCAGAGAGGGCACAGATGGGATTTGAACCTGGAGAGTATGATGTTATGGCAAGCACTAAGTAACCTCAACACTGAGCTGATTTCTGGTTTTAGTGCAAGATGAGTGAAAAGCACTTTAGTCCAACCAGAGAACTCACAGAAGGCTCCCTGGAGGAGGTGGTGCCTGAGCTAAGCTTTGCAGGAGGAGAAAGAGTCCACCTGGTGTAAAAACAAGAATCAGTGTCACAACCACCTAGACTGAGCTCTTACTATGAGCCCAACACTGTTCTAAACACATTAACTCACAGCTTGATATACCGTGCGGGAGACCCAGGTTTGGGGGGAAATCATTTAGTAGGTTATAATCAGCATTTAAAAAGTGAAATGAAATATAATAGGAAATGACAGGATGAATTACTCATAGCAATAATTATTATTTTATGACACTTGTCTTTTTAGTTACTTGTGGTGTGCATACGTACATATTGGGTCATGACGTGAAACACATTTCTTACTGTGGGTCATGATCGAAAGAGCTCTAAAGGCACTGAATTTACTCATTTAATCCTCACGACAACCGTACGAAGTAGCACTTATTGTTGTTACTCCCATTTTGGTAGGAAAACAAAGGCCCAAAGAGGTCAAGTCCCTTGAAATACTCATGCTTAATATCCGCTTACTGGTGCCAGGCATGGTACTAGGCATTTGACCTGGGCAATAGATGGGTTAGGGAGTGGGATGAGCAGCAGGTGGCTTTGTCTAGCCACTTTAGAAGCCAAATGCATCGTGGTTAGAAGGGCCACTTAGCTAAGCTTAGATGAACACTTGGCTAAACTTGGGATGGGGGAGTGGGTGAGACCCCCAACGGCATCCTCAAATAACAACCTGTGGCAGAAATTTTTGGCAGAAATATCTCCCACCAACTCTTTTCCTCTTCTTCCTTTAGTCACAGAATCCCACATTTTAGCTAAGTATATGATTGCCCAGGATAAAGACTACATTTTCAGCTTCTCCTGCAGCTAAGTATGACCATGTGACTAATTCCCAGCCAATGAGACATGAGCAACCTCTACAGTGGGCTTTAAAAGGAAGGTATCTTTGTGGGCCAGCCAAGTGGCTCAGTTGGTTAAGAGCTCGCTCAAGGGTTTGAGCTCTGAGCAACAGCAGTTTGATGCCCGCCCTGAGCTGAGTTGCCGCTGAGCTGCCAAAAGGTGGCAGGATGGCTCAGCTAAAAAAAAAGAAAAAAGGAAGGTATCTTCATTGCCCTTTCATTCTCCCTATTATGCTTGTTGGAATGCAGATGTGATAGGTGCCATACTGGACTCATGGGCAGGACAAAACCTAGTGACGATGGAACAATTAGAAGGATCTACCATGGAGCTGCCATATCATCCCTAAATTGTTTATGCCAGGCCATTATATGAGGGAGAGAAACTTCCATTTTGTTTAAGGCACTGTTATTTTGTGTCTTTATTAAAGCATCAGAATCTGAATCCTAAGCATAGTAGCCAACCCCCACCCCCCCGGCCCCTTACCTGTTGTTTTGTTTTTCACAGTTTCAGTTACCCACGATCAACTGCAGTCCAAAAAATATTAAGTGGAAAATTCCAGAAATAGAGAATTCATAAGTTTACAATTGCATGCTGTTCTGAAGAGCATGATAAAATCCTGTGCCTCCCTGCTCTGTCCTGCCCAGTTGTGAGTCATCCCTTTGTCCAGCATGGCCACCTCGCATACACTCCCTACCCCTTAGTCACTTTGTAGCCCTCTTAGTTATCAGATTGACTGTCACAGTATTGCAGTGCTTATGTTCAAGTAACCCTTATCTTACTTAATAATGGTCCCAAAGTGCAAGAGCAGTGATGCTACAAATTTGGATATGCCAAAGGGAAGCTGTAAAGTGATTCCTTTAAGTGAAAAGGTGTGTATGTACAGGAAAAAGCATAGTATACACAGGATCTGCAGTTTCTCCTGGGGGTCTTGAAACATATACCCTATGGACAAAAGGGGGACTACTGTAATACGGTCTCTGTTACGGACTGAATTGTGACCTCCCCCAAATCCATATGTTGAAGCCCTAACCCCCAGTACCTCAGAATGTGACTATATTTGGCGATAGGGCCTTTAAAGCAATAATTAAGTTAAAATGGCATTGTTAGGGTGAGCTGTAATGCAATCTGACTGGTGTCCTTATAAGAAGAGGAGGTTAGGCCACACAGAAAGATGCCAGGGTTGTGTACACAGAGGAAAGACCATGTGAAGACACAGTGAGAAGGGGTCCATCTGCAAGCCAAGGAGAGAGAGAGGCCTCAGAGGAAAGCAAACCGGCTGACACCTCGGTCTTGGACTTCTAGCCTCCAGAACTGTGAGAGAGAAAATTTCTGTTGCTTAAGCCACCCGGTCTATGGTATTTTGTTATGGCAGGCCTAGCAGACAAATACAGTCTCTAAGCTACTTTCTCATAAGGATGGGTCTGGTTAACTTCATGGCTTTGTTTTTCTTGGTTCAGGACTGAATAGCTCATAAAAACAGAGGTGAGTTTGAAAGCTGCCACCAGAGACCTCTGCCCTTCCCCATGTGATGAACAAATATTTAATGAATATCTGTTGGAAAATGTGACATTGACAAAACATGGCCAAAACACTGTGCAACTCCTCTCCTCGAGAGGTGAAGCCTATTTTCCTACTGTTGAAGCTGGACCAGTCATGTGATTTACACTGGCCAATAAAATATGGCGGAAGTGATGGCATGCCAGTTCTGAGCCTGGGCCTCTTCCATTGCTGAGTGAATAAGCCCAGGTTAACCTGCTGGAGGATGAATCTATGTGGCCCAATCACGCCCATTGCCCGAGCTACCAGCCAGGCCACTGCCAGACATATGAAAGAGGCTACCTTGGACCAGTGCCCAGGCACTCCCAGCTTATCACAGACACATGAGTGAGACCAGAAGAACTGTTCAGTAGAATCATGAGCTAAAAAAAAAAATGGTTGCTATTTTAAGTTTTGAGGTGGTTTGTTAGGGACCGATTGACTACTGGCACACAGAATGTGTCCTGATGGGACTTGCTGAGCGAGAACTCAGTCCCTCCTGCTGTGGGGCCCCACTCACCGTTGACACGTATCTGCTCTGTCTTACTCCTGCGTCCCCTGCTGGTTTCCAGCACCGCAGTGTAGCTGCCCGAGTCTTGAGCAGTCACATTGCTAATGACCAGGCTGCCTTGGGTGTCCAGTGTCTCCCGGCCAGTGTGGCCAGGCCCTGGGAGGCCCTCAGGGGAGAAGATCATGGCTTCTGGTTGAGCCTCGTGCCCTCGGAACCAAGAAGCAGCGAGGACGCCATCAATGTTGCTGGGGACAGGAAGGTGAGCAACGGCTCCTTCGGTCAAGAAGTTTAGAGACGCAGAGGAGGGCAGCTCCGAGGAGGCAGAGCAGGTGCAGGATGCAAGCAGGGTGCCTGGAGGAGGTGGGAAGGGAGAGAGAAGCGTGGGAGCAGGTGAGACCAAAGGCGAGATGCTGCCCCAGTATCCCTGAGCTGGTAAGAATGAGTGTGGCACATCGAGAGTTGATGATGACAACAGTGATCACGATAAAAAATATTGTAGAAAAAAAAAAGGAACATTCATTGAGTACCTCCCACAAGCGGACACTCTTCTAAGTGTGGAACAGGAATTCTCTCACTTAACCCTTACATCGACCCCACAAAGCACATATTACACTGGATGCCATACTGCTCTGCTCTCCAGCCTTCTCTGTCCTGCTCTGCTCCATGAAAGGCTGACTTCTCTGAGCTGCATTGTTGAACTTCTGCTTCTGGTTGGCTCCTGCCAAGGGGAGTGGCCTTGAGGTTAGTGGTCTCATAGTTCCTGCCCTGCTCCATCAGAATGGATGGGCTCTGTCCTTCTACTAAAGCTACTACTGGGTGACCCTCTCCATACGCCACTGTCTTTTTTTTTTTCTTTTTAATTTTTTAAGATTTTTATGGGGGAATTGGGGGGATAGGAACAGTGCTGGGGAATTGGGGGAAGGGGAACAGACGAGTTGCTGTCGTTTTGTTCTTCAGTCTAGTTGTGGAGGACGTTGCTTCACTGGCNATCTTAGTTGTGGAGTGCGCAAGCTCAGCTCTAAGTCCAGTCACCATTTTCAATCTTCGTTGTTGGGGGGGTGGGGGGCGCAGCCCACCATTCTATGCAGGAGCAGAACTGGCAACTTTGTTGTTAAGAGCATGGGCTGTCACTGGCCCATGTGGGAATCAAACTGACAACCCTGTTTCTCAGAGCTTGTGCTCTAACCAACTGAGCCACCCGGCCACCCCCTACAACAATCTTTTAAAGGCACTTGGGCCTCTTAACTCCCTAGGTGGTAGATATTATTATTTCCATTTTTTCACATGAGGAAACAGAGATACATAAATGAGGTTAAATAAATTGTTCAAGGTCATAGCCATGTAAGTCACTCTCACCCCAAGACAGCGTCACTTTCTTCTTCCTGTCCTAGGACAATGTGTTTCCTGAGATTCAAGCTCAGTCCTGTTTTCCTGGCTCCTTGAGTCTTTGTTGCATCATTCATTTCTCCTGGTGTGAGTGTGTGTGTGAGTGTGTGTGTGTGTGTGTGTGTGTGTGTGTGTGTGTGTGTGTAGGCTGATAGTGTGTTGGAGGGGAGTAGTAAAGCATCATTTCATTAACACAGGTCACAAGGCAAATAGTCAGTGCTGGGCGGCTCTGGAGGAAGCTGAATTGTAAAAAGCAGTTTGAAGGCCAAAAGGACTCCCTGTCCCTCTAGCGGCTACACCTTGATGGGGGAGACTTATCCCACATGTTTCACTTTTTCATGGAAGGATATCCCTGTCATTGGTCAGAGGCACCCCCAGCCCCTTCCAGGGGTTTACAAATACCTGCCTACTTTTTAGTTGTCCCAATGCCTGAGTATGGAACAGTACTGACATTTATTGGGCTAAATACAGTCTGACAATTCAGTTCGCGAACTTATCATCATGTGCTTACATTGGCAGCATTGTGCAAACAGCTTCGTAAGATTTCATAACTTTGGTATATCAGGGTCTCACAGCTGTGTTCATGTGTGGCGGTGTCTTGCTGAGTGGCGTTCATTATTGTTGTTGCGTGTTTTTGTGTGCCGTCATGAGAATGTCTGAGCTTGAATTAGAGCAACGAACGAACATTAAATGTCTTGTTAAACTTGGCAAGAGTGGAAGTGAAATCAGGGACATGTTAGTCCAAGTTTATGGGGATNCCCAATGCATGCTGCAAGCCAGGACCCCAGCTCCTTGCTAGCAAGACATACTGTTTTATGTTCTTTACAATATTTACTACTATTTGAAATTATTTCTTTCTTTGTCCACTTGTTTAATATCTGTCTCCCCTCCCTCATGTCCACCTCCCTAACTAGAATGTCAGATCCAGGAAGGTAGCGATTTTATTTGTTCACAGCTGTCCCCAGTGTCTAGAACAGTGCCTGGCACACCCATAGGTGCTCAATAAATATTTTTCTAGTGAGTGAGTGAGTAAGCTATTAAGTATAATGGGAGTATTGGGAATTGAACGAAGATCATCTGACTCAGAAGCTCATGTTTTCCATCCCAGAAAGGTCCAGGTTCCACTCTAGGGCAAAGTTTTACCCTTGAGTCTCTGAAAATAGTCTTTATCAAGTGACTTGGTTACGTCTTTAGTGGCGTGACCAGTGCTGCCTCTTTTATGATTTTTCTAAAGCCTCTGCTGGGGTGATTAGCCTAGCCAGGGGACCACTGATGGGTAATAAACAAATATTTGCAACACAATTAGTAACCATTATTATTAATGAGAAATGCTCACCCAGCATTCATTCTCTTTTATCTGGCCAATGACCCCTCGAATTTCCGTGGAGAAACCAACCTCCTCATGGTTCCAGGTAGGTGGAAGATCAGGCCTGGCCAATCAGAGCACATCATCCGCCAACTACCATGATTGGGTTGTTCGGAGCCGGCTGCACCTCAGTATCTGACATGGCCACGCGCACTGCTATTGTGACAAATTCTGAAGCTCTGACTGAGAAACAGATACTGCTTTTTATCTTAGAAGATTTAAATTCCCCTTTGGATGCCCCCCAGTAGGACGAAGATCTTACACCCCTTCTGATAGATATATCACAATAATTCTATTTTATACACTAAAGGCAATTTTAGTCACACTGCTAGTCTTTTAGTAAAGGTCAAAGTACACACCCTGTAAATCTTAAGCTCCTGCTTAGACAATAGTGTTTAGAATAATTGTTGGGTGGTCATGGTAACCATTCTTTGGGCAATTATGTAGAGGCTTGGCCTTGGTTGCATAATCATTGTAGGTGGAGAGATTTGGACACAGTTAAGATAAATTAGTCTTTAGCATAAGAAAAGGTCAAGCTGTACCCTGGAACATAAGAATTATGAGGAACTAAAACCCTGATAAAAAACTTTTTACTAATGGGACAGTGGTCAACTGCCGGTATAAAAAGGGTCATGCTGTAAAAATAAAGTGTGACACTTCTTCTTGAAAAGCGCCCCTGTGTCTCCGCAGGTTTTTCTTCTTTTCCTCACTGACGCCGTCTCCACCTGAGGGAACCCCTGGACCTGCGGGAGCTGGTCTCCCGCATTGGGTGAGAGCTGGACATGTGACCCACGCCTGGCCAATCAGAGCATTTCGACCCCATGCCTCAGTGATTACTTGAGAGTTGGGCACAAGACCCAAAGAAGGCCAAGGAGGAGTAAAGTGGGGGCTTTATTGGAACTTTGGGGGGATAAAGCATTTTCTTTCAGCTGGGTTTGCTAAGTTGAAGGGCTAAGTGCGGAGCTGCTAGGGTGCCTCTTTCTATCATAAGTAGAGAGGTTGCCTAAGCATGAGGCCAACACACAGGAAAGGTAGCCAGGAGATGGACAGAGGTTTCTGAAGACAACATTTAAAAATCTAGATCGAGTTGTGCCTGAAGCTAGAGTAATCCTTCAGATTTTGTGTTATGTGAGTCTGTATATTCCCATTAATCCTCCTGGGGGAGTTTGATTTGGGATTCAGCTACTGGCCTCCAGAACTTTGATTGAAAGGAAAGGTGAGGGCCGGCCGAGTGGTGCGATGGTTAAGAACTGGCTTNCTGGGGTGGAAAAGTCCCACGCCTCTAGCATCTGGGGGGAACAAGAAAGATGCACACATGTTTCCCATAAGCCAGTGGTGGATGCCTCCGATGGGAGCCAGCTGGAGGCATGTCCTGGCAAAGGCTGTCCTGGCAAAGGCCCCCATGGGAAAGGGCTTGCTGACGGAGGATGGAGCCGTCCGTGAGATGGCTGCAAGCCTCCAGCGGGCCCACTGCATGGAATCCTTGGAACACATTCTCCAGTGATGAGGGTCCCCAAAGTACTCTCCCATCCACAAAGATCCAGCAACCGTGCCTCAGCCACAGAGAACAGCTTGCTCCCACCTTACAACGACAGCAGCCAAGTAGACATTTTCCTGTCCCCTTCACTATCTTTCTTTCCTCTGCCCATGGCCCTAGGGGGCCACAGACCACAGCTCTATGTGGGGAGAAAGGATGTAAAAAAGAGAGAGATGAGGCCCACCATGTCTTACAATGTCCCATCATGTCCTCACTAACAATCTGACCCAGGCCTGACTGGGGATGAGGCGAAGCTTTAAATTGGGTGAGGTTTGGGATTTTGAGAGGCAGATGTGTGTAGTCTCTATAACCAAACTGTCTGGGTTCAAATCCTCCTTCTGCCATTTCCAAGCTGTGTGGCCCCGCCCCGCTCAGAGACTCACTTTCCTCTTTTGTAAAAAGGTTCAATGGCGCAGGTGCCTGTGCTGCATGGGCTTTAGACTGACCAGAGTTGGAGCTCCGCGTGGGGAAGACTGGCTTGGATAGTGACTCTCCCTCGGGTGTCCTCTCCTTGTCCCCAACCCGTGGGTGGAACCCCTGTCTCCCATGCACCTGTTAGAAGCAGTCTCTTCCAGCCAGGGCTGTGGCCGAAACCAGAGTCCAGAGAAGAGCTCATGCTGCCTTCTTTCCAGGGGCCACAGTGGGGAGGTCGCCTTGTCAGGAGTGAGGGCTCCTAGATGGTACAGTCAAGTAAGTAGCCTTGGCTCTGCCCTGAACTGGTCCCACCCCTCCCTGGCCACACCCCCGCTCTGCCCAGCCCCAGGCTCCAGCTGATGGCTGGGATGCCACCTCCAAGCCTCCACTTTTCTCCAGCACAGGGTTAGTGGTAGTGACGGGTGAGAATCAAGCTGGGGCAAGGTTCCTGGAGAAGGGGCTCTGGGGTTTCGCTCCCCTCCCTCTCTGCATCCTG